CGCTGAAAAATCCGCATATAACACCAAGTATCTAGGTAGTAATGCCCTTTTCCTGTGCGAACAATAGGATGCTTCCCCCGGATGACATAATTAATCCTCCTAGCCTGATAATTGTTAAACACGATTTTGTTTCTTTTCATCCGCGAGTCCAATACCTAGATAACGCAATCATCCGTCGGTGTCCAAGTTTGGCATCCGTATTCGCGCAGCCCTACCACTCAATCATTTTTTCTTTTAAAGGCACGCCTAAGACGTAGTGACTTCTTGTGGCTGCCTGAAAATTGAAGTGTTCATCAAATGTGTAGTTCACGGGATCATTGGTACAATGCGTTGGCCTTGCATTGTGTAGCAGAGACAGAAAACTCGTATGTTGACCAGGTCTCCATCAATTCGAATCATCACGAAGTCGAAGATCAATATGAATGTTAGGGGAACGTTCCGGGGTGTCATCAAATCGTTTATCACTTCATTGAAAGGGGTCTGGAGAACGAAAGTTTGATAGACAAATATGAGTCACTTCCGGAATCATTAGTGTCCTTAGACGGCGCTGGTCAACAGTTGTATTCCGATGATATCCCGATGGAATATACAAATCACATATCTAGTGATTACAAAATTGCGAATCTCTTTATGAATTTCTCTTAAATCTCTACGTAAGAGCTAAGATCCCTATGAGGATAATTCAATCGAGGCAAATGCCAAGTATCTAATGCATCATATTTTGTCTTTCGTTAAATCCTCCGACTTCGCTAACATATTACCAACCCTCATGGCATTCATGTGAATAAACATGCAGTCGAACAATATCCACTTGTTTGTTTGTAGATTGCTAGCATCCGTGGAGTTCATGGCTCCCGAGTCGGCCTCATCTCATGCTTTCCTCGGTTGGCTGCGGCACAACGATTAGGGCTACTGCATTTCGTACTTGAAATGTTTATCAGGGTGTTTTCTCAGCAAGCGCTCGACAAATTGTTTGTCTCCAAAAGATACATTCGCGCAAGGCATTTACACTGTTGTTGGCTGAGCGTTTGTGTTTCTGGATAAGCCTAGTGATGTGTTCAAGGTTGAATTTCAGGCATACCATGGTTCATATCTTCTTCAAGAATCCATCAATACTTGATACAAGAGGCTTTCAATCGCTCAGCCATAGCCTAGGAACGTAGTTGAAGCAATTGATCTGAGAAATCAAGGCGAGATTGATACGAGTATGCAAGAGTATGCTTGAGCCACAGTGTCACAACATCATGGCTCAAAGATTGCGATTGCTTTTCAAATGTATATTTTTTGTTATTGTCCCAGATTCTTCTCCACGAAGAGAACCCCTGGCAGTATAAAGAGACGACCTTGCGGCACCTAGGTATTGTACGGCTCTCCTTTGAAGGCTGAGGTTTCGGATGTCCAACATCTAACCCGGTTTATTAATCAAATATTTGATTCATGTGAAAATTTCACTACGAGGGTATTCTAACAGTAAAGACACCCGATTCCTACAAGGAAATGGATAAAACAATCTCAGGGAAAGACGAGGATTAAATGTTGAGCGAGGAAAGAAACTACGAGGATGGTTCAGTGGAGTAGACAAGTGACTGAGAGATACCAAGAGGTTCCCGTACTGTCATGGATACATCTCCTCGGTGAATAGCAAAAATTGGAGTCATGCTGGGTGTCAATGATAATGAGACTGGTGTATTGTCACATGATCCCGGCCATCACATGAAATTTCACATCTGAGCTTTTACAATTAAATTCGATTCGATCTTTGATTAGAATGGATTTGTATTACAAGCAAGTTACAGAAATTTGGGATCGAATTCATCATTTTCGATGCTCTTGTTCTGAATACCACGATTTCCAAATAGCGTCACGTGATGTATTGATTGAATAGAAAAGGGAGTGCCCGACTATCCTAGACCTCTTCCGAATTTCGTTAGAATGTTCAAGTGGTCTGAAATTTTGAAGTTGCTTCATATACTGAGAGCATGCATTTGCCTACCATTTGAGATTACCTAGGTGCTACATATCTTGTAGAGAAATTCTCTCACAGGAACTGAAAGTATCATGTTTGTATACTTAATGCATATGAAAATTGGGAGTGCTCATTATACTCAAAAGACACTAGATCTATGCATCTGCGTGGGAATTTCCGGAATATCTGGGAATTGTCGATAGTGGTGAAATTTTGCATCGAGCGCACGGAGGGAAATGCTTTACTTGCTGACCATGGCAGCTTAAACACCAGATGGAAGATACTTAAGTACAAACAGGATCCTCAATGTTCAAATCTTCTGCTCGACTCCATGAAGGTCTTTAGCTCTTTGAAATTGAGTTTGACAGTTCCATATTTTCTTATACTTCGAATCTTGAGAGGTCTCGATTAGTCAATCAAACACTAGCCCATTGCCATACACACGCCCTCTCCCAAATCTTCCCCAAAACTTTCATTAAAAAAAGACCCTCAAATTGGGCCCCAAACTTCTGTTTTGAATTCGGGATACAGTGATATGGAGGAAATGCTCTATAGGTTTTGAGCTATAATGTGATGATATACTTCACTTCAAGAAAGGTGGGGTGTAAAGAGGGAGGATTATGGAGTTGGATATTTATGAGCTTTGGAAAAGGGAGTCGCAGCGATGGGTGATAAGTAGGCAAATATACACCTATGTCTATACATCGACTTTCATATAGGTGATGGAGTATAAAATACGTTTGAAGAGGATAGAGGACGAAGAGGTGTGTAATGTCATTATGGAAGCTAGAAAGTGAAAAGGGAAAGGTATGGATACCATCATCGCAAATTCCCATCACTTTCTCGGAAGGTGAGATAAGACTGCAGTTGGGTGCATTGATGTCAGTATTTCTATCGATTTATATGCTAGTGAAGGAAGCTGGAAATCAGGAGTAGAAATTTTGAGAACAGTGAAATGGCCAGGTGTTCGTGTGTGTAGTAAGCTTAGGGTGAGATTCTAGGGGGAGACGAATTGTGTTGGTTGTAGCAGTCGATTGTATTTAGTATGCGGGACGGCCATCTTCAGGACGCCTAGGAGGCTGGGACGACGAGGAATGAATTTACGCATCATGAAAGTGTATTGAACGCTTGGCGAAGGTCTTTTTACTACTGCAGTCGGCTGCTATAAGTCGAACTTGCGGGTAAGGCGTAGTATAGTATGGCGATGATGGCAGGGAGTATGAGATAAGATGCGACGGGAAGAATGGTGGGTGGTTATGCTAGTCTAGTGCAGGAGAGATTTCTAATATGCTGTAGATGCAGACTAATTTGTTTTTCGAGGTCCTTTACAACTGCTAGAGAAGGAGTAGATTAGACTGACAATTAGTTTACCGGAAGCAGATCTCTGACGGCCTAGTAGAGTGTGCACGTGAGGAGAATAGTATTATTAACTGATGTAGAGGCTGCGAGGCAGAAGAAAATAGCAGTGATATTATCTATAAAACCTAAGGTAACACATCGAATGCCTGTGGAATAGCTATATTTGTGCTATTGTAGCTAGAGCGTACGCCGTCTGCAACTCTACCGCTAATGAAACATTTTATTCCTCTCCTGGTAAATCATCTTCTGTTATGTACATCTACCTTCGAATCGTTTACTTTCTAGCAGCATGAGTACTCGTACATATTGTAGAGGGTTTAGTTTGCAGATGGATCTGGAGTTTATTAATGGTTGGTGTGTTGCAATACTGCATGATGATACATATAATATAGACGATAATACGGGTACTTGGAGTGACAGTCCCGACCTAGAAGACCATAGACGTTTTGATTTAATGTATGGAAAGGGAAAGTACCATTTCCTGAGCACGATACGCCAATAAGAAGATCTTATTTCGTGTTGTTCATGCAGTGCAGGCATTGAGCTGACTGACCTACCATCTTGAAGTGTTGTCGATAACAATTGGGCAACACTTCTCGGGGTCCAATTCCTTGTAGCTTTGGACAGTAATCAAGCTTCTGGACGCATGCATGACGAATTACTTTCTACTCAATTCCTTGGAGCATCTTTTCATGAATAGACGGTTGTGAATGAAAAGGTTTGAGCTATTGGAGAGTATCATAATGACATAAAGTGCATGGATATCAATCACCCGAACTATTCATGATTGTGATTCTTCTTATAGTTTTCCGTGTGACTCGATCTGTTCTTTTGAGATTTATAAGACTTGATGGTCTAATATCCGTCAGCCTCCAATAAATCAGATCGTAGATTAGTCAACAATCTCAACCCGCAAGTTCCGGACCGCACCGCAACCGTTGCGGAATACAGAGACTACAGATCTCGAAGGAACGTGGGGCTTGCAAGGAGGATAGCCGAGCTTCCCGAAAGCACTATTGAGAGTAAGCAGCGGGGTGGAGAGTTATCATTTAATCTAAAGTGGTAGTTTGCTTCCCACACTGTCACATAAGCGCTCGTTCCGATCCGCTAAATATAATGTTTTGGTACACATGCATGTTAACATTCCCAATTGGGAAAGTGGGGTCGTAGACTATATGCATAGAGATGATGAAAGCCCTAGCGGGAGATATTGGCTATTTATCATAACAATTCATCGTATCATCTTGCTCGCAGCAGAATTCTTAGTTCTTTTTGCTGGGCCGAACCTGTCAATTCACGTTCGGAATCCGTCTCACTGAAGTCTGAACAATTCGCACTTTTCAATTCCTTGATATACATATCCCCTGTTATAACTCATTCGGTCTTCTCTTTAATACATCCTATTTTCGCCATCTCTGTCCCTTTCCAAATCCTCTATTCCAAAAATAAAGAGGAATTGAACGGGGTACTCCCTATATCCAAATCCCAAATCATCCAAATTTCAAATGAAAACACCACAAACAACGTAAATCCAAGTCCATTTCGTATACTATCATCGTACGGTATCCCGGCGCGAGCCCATATCTTAACTACCTATAATGCAACTTAACAGAATTTAATAGATACTAAACGCCAAATTCACGAAGCTCTCGTTGATATGACGCAAATATTCGAATCAAAACTGCTCACTCTCGTTTAGAAAGAAATTCTGGAGTGAGTGGTAGTAAGCGTGAGAACTGGGAGGATCTAATACTGTAGCTAAATCCGTCGTAATAGGAGAGGCCTGTACATTCTGCTCATGAATCTGGTGTTGTACAATCGTAATTTGCGAAGCAGTCTGATAAGATGGCGTGCTGGGTGGAATATCTAGTTGTGGGGTAACTGACAATGGTACAACGACTTGGTCTAATGCTATAGCTAAGGATCGCAAGTCAGAGTACGAGAGAATAGAAACTGGATCAGGATTGAGTATGGTTGGATTGAGTTTAAAGTCTCTGCCGTGCTCGACATCAAGCTCTGGAACTAATCTGGTCAGAGGGGATTCAAAAATGCAATGCAACATGTCAAGTTCATGTAGTCTATTTTGTGCAGCTATGGCCTATCAAGGACCGAGATGAACTTGCCTCTAGACTTATGGTGTTTGCACATCAAATAAATAGTTATCATCGTGAGAATGGCGCTTGTAACACCAAAAGTTATATCGATAATATTATCGGCGCCCACTAAGAAGATGTCAGAAGAGAAGAGATAGAACCCAATAGAATGTTTCAGCTTACACATTTCAGTACCTAGTATCATAAAAGAGTTTGAGATAATTTGAGAGCTTGTTTGTCAGAGCTTGACGTGTATGCCTTCAACGATAGGAGAGACTTCTACTTGTACCTTTGATCTTTGTGTTTGCAATGTCTGACAGCCGCAATGGCTTATGCCTGCCAGATGAGTTGGCGAAATTCCACGTCTCGAAGAAAATATCGTCGCATCAGCAGCAGGATTTTTGACGATGCGGTGTATCTCAAAATTTTGGTGATCAAAAGTAGACGCACACTCAGCCCTTTTCCAGAGGGAAGATCTCACTCGGCTAATTGTACTTTATGACGATAGCCCTCCCTCGTAGATTCATAGTAGGAGATACCTGTTACCATGTAAATAATCCCTCTTGGTATCAATATGTTGGGAGCCATAAGGAACTGAAGATATTGTAAACCTTGTAGCAACACCCAAATCTTTGGTGAGGAGAAGCAGCATTCTCGCTTGGTGTAACGGCGCCTTATGCCAGTCATTCCGGCCCGAAAGTGGGGTTATGACGGCTGCAAACAATATTAGCCCTCCTTCTTACAAAAAGCACTGAAAATTGCGAATCTGTATAGCATTGTCGAATCAGGCAGCAAACATTTCCCATGAAAAAATGAAACTTTGACGAGATAATCGCGATTAGAGTCGGTGTATGACCGTGCCGCAATACCGTGTGATCGACAACTTGAGGCTCTTGGGTTCAAGAGTCTTTTGCTCAATGATAGTGGTACAGCATTCACATATTTTGAGAACTCTGCACTATCGTCAAGACGGAGAGGCTGTGTTGTGGATGGTGCCTGTGGTTCTGAACTTCAAGGATGGTCTTGTACAACATCAATTTGCGAGTGCATAGCCACAATTTTTAGTTGCTCACATCCTCGCATCTCTCACTAGTATTGAATGTATGTCGTCACGAAGGCCTTATATCAGTGGGAGGTCGGGATCCCCGCGCGTCTTGCATATAGATCTTCAATACGATCACCCTAAAAGGTTCACCCGAATCTACTCGCTTGCCCAAGCTAACTTTGAGGTTGCAGTGGTTAGCGGCACAGACCGAGTGACCACTATAGCAACATAAACGCTCGAATATGCCAGTCAGCCGTAGCTATATAAAAATTGCTATTGAAGAGCTCGCACTGGTGGTCAAGGCTAGTGTTTCAGCCTCAATTGTCTTTACTTTGCGATCATGGAAATCTTCTGCAAGTTGCCTAATACCACTCATGTGGACGTTCTTGTTTCTGAAATCCAGGAGATCTAACAAATCCGTTTTGAAACAGAGTATTTCGAAACTTTATACAGGTCCTTAATAAGGAACCTACCACACTGTTGCAGAGGTTAGACAAAGTATATTGGATCTTTGGACTCGACATATAAACCACGAGTAGTACACAGTTTGAATCTATACAGTTATCGAGACTCAGCTTTCTATTGACTCTTCGCATTCGTCGCTGTCGAAAGTCGGTGAAACTTCACACATTGTGCTGAGGCGCAGCCATAGTACTTACAATTTTTATGTATGAGAGCAAAGAATGATCGTGGAAGGAAAATATTGATAGTTCGAACCCTAATCAGAGTGCCAACCACAATACAACCAAAATTCGAATTCGAATTTTCTATGTACTGCAGGGACCTAAAAACGATTGGGCATGACCGAGGTACGATGTAACTTTACATGCATTTGGTCCTCAATGACCCTCAAGGTACGATTTGAAACCGATAAAATCTGCAGGTGCTCCCTTCTGCGACGAATCAACTCATTTGAGACGCACACACATTTGAAACGGATTGATACGTAGTTCGTCACCACTCGAGTAGCTATAGTGCCGTGACAACTCAACACACACGAGATCTACATCAGCAGTACTGTAACTAGTTTTTTCCCTTGCTTTAAGAGCCTCAACTCTTTTGGATATAAAGATTTCAAACAACTTTTGAAAGGAAGTAGGCACTGGCCCATCTGGCATAGAAGGCATGGTGGAATTGCGGAAACCGTCTTTACTTGTCATGGCTAAAAGAAACTTGATCGCCATTTCAAAAGATAGCATCCGAGTTAGTTGTTTTGGTACATATTGAGCTGTATTGAATACTGATGATGAAGTTTTACTTGACGAGTGAATAATGAAGCTTTGATGTAGGTGTAGGTTAAAATAATTAGCTGCTATGTTTGTCGCTAAGATAAACAAACTAATAAACTGGAGAGGTGGAGACGCGACGCGCTCAACCACGTCCACGATATCTCATACCACCACAAAAAGTTTCACGAAATTCGATAAACGGCCTTCTACAGGTTCGAATGTTCAATTTCAATAATAATTAATCCCTTATTAATATCTTTGCAAGATGCCACGCCCAAAACGCACAAAAGTTACTCGTCCTACTGCGACTGCGCCTGCCCCGCGCGTCATAAAATCAACAGAACTAGTCGAATCAGAATCTTTACCAGCGGCAGCTCCAACAGCGCGTCCTTTCGACGATCTATATGATGTTAGTGATGAAGAGCTTGAGAAATCTGCGAATGCGACAAAGTTGGCAAAAGGAAAGTCTGTTGCAATACGAAGTAGTGGTCGCAATGCATCGCGCATCATCAAGAATACAGAGTCTAAGGAAGCTACCAATACTACAAAGACGAAGAATGCGCCGGAATTAGAATCAGATGATTATACGCGAGTATCTAGTAGTCCGGCCATTGAAGCTGGGAGAAGAGGTCGACGTACATCTGCTATGGATAATTCTGTACTTGCGATTGGTAATTTTCGACGGAGGGCGCGTGAACCAAGTATTTTAGGACAACAAACCACACGAGCTCGGTCAAGCAGTATAGAGTCGGATATGGCAGAAGAAAACGGTCTTACGAGTGTTGGCAGGAGGAATACATCTGGGCTAGGAATGGGAACATTTAGAGGACGCGCTGGATCTAGGAGACCAAGTAGTGTGGGTGGGGATAGACCAGAAATCGGATCTGTATTGCGACTTGGTAATTTTAAAAGAAGAGCTCGAGAACCTAGTATTTTGGGAACGGCGCGGAAACCAGAACAATCAAGGCCTACATTCGATTCCGATTCTGATTCCGACGGCTTTGCGCCTGAAGACGAATCAACACCTTTACACTTTGCCAAGGGTAGAGCTGTGCCTTCATCTTCAAGTTCAAGAAAGCGAAAATTGTCCGGTGTACAGGTTCCACGTTCACAAGATGCTACGCAGGCCCAGCTGAGCCCTTCTAAGTTGCCTAGAAACGAATCAGATCTCGAAGATACAGTTCCCGCCACCGCGCCCATAAATAGTGAAGACGAGGAGGAGGACGAGCTACCAGAATTAGAAAAAGAGCCTTCGCCCGAGGATTCGCCATTATCATCAACAGAACGTATTGCGACACCCGAGCCTATGAGTGAAACTATGGCACCTCCACGTGCTGGTAGTTCCTCTCTTTCGCCTGCTCAATCTTTACCATCACCTACGCTACCTCCTCAACCTATTTTAAATACGCGTCAAGCGGCTACTCGACCTCGACGCATAATAGATCCACGAACTCCACCGCGTGTTTCAAATACAGAAATGCACTCCTCTCCTATGTCTTCCCCGCCATCACTCACACATTCACCCGATATACCCACACGCTCCACACGGCTGCCGCGTAAAGCTGCGCCTCAACCTGCAACTTTATCTACTGCAGCTTTACAAGCTCTACTTCCGAGACGCCGTCAGCGTCATCGATCCGCTTTAGACGTGGAATCCTCTGACAGTGAGGTGGACACTACTGGTCTTGGCGAGCATGATGATGAATTGACCATAATAGTCGCCCCAACTGCCCGTCGTCAAGCTTCTGCTCGCCCTACTACTGGAGCATCTGCTACAGGTTCAAAACTTGCACAAAAAGCTAAGGCTGCCGCCAAAGGTAAAGGTAAGAGAACTTATGGAAGGAAACCAGCACCTGCAGCATCTGATAAAGAAAATGAACTCGACCCTGATGACAGTTTGGCGCCTGCCCAAGACGAAAGATCTCCAGAAGAGCCTCGAAGTGAGAATAGTTCTGAATTGGAGAAGAGGGTAGGAAAAGAATTGAAAAAAGCTGCGAGGAAATTCAAGGAAGTCGATAAGTGGGAGTTAGAATTTGAGGAATGCGAGGCGAGTAGTGATCAACTTGCTCGATAGTTATGTTTCACGATTGGCAAAGATATGTGGCGTCAACGAATTTAGGTTTGCTTACGGGAGGTGAAATGGAGAGCAAAAGGTCAGCGAGGAGTTGGGGTCATGAAACGCAAATGCAAATGCCTTTACCAGAATTATCTACAATATCGTTCTGTAACGTTACTTGGGAAATCGGACATTCGGCGCGAAGGGTGTCTAGAAATACGGCTTATTTCATTGGCCTTTCAGTGTAAAAACGGACGCCTTGATAGCTGGATATGAACGGGTTTTATGTAATTGCTTGCTACGGTTTGTGGCTTGAATAGCTTCCTCTACTCGTCGCCATAGATGGTACGATACTTGATGCAATGGATATGAATCTTAAACATTCCGTCTATCATTCTATGATAATTGAACTTGTGATTGTATGATAACTAACAGAACAGTACTGAATCTAGAGTGCACAGCTGAACACGTAGAATCTAGAACATGTGGCTATGAAATGAACTGGTTTATGGGGCACAGTGTACTGAAGAGGTAACGAAATCAGGAAATTGAATAATATCTTTGGAGGTGGGAGGCGCGGCTATTTCTAGAACCATTTATCTCACATCAGCCGAGACCCATGGGTGATGAGAATTACAACAAGGTTTAAAATGTGATCTGAAATAATCTTTTTCATGCCGGTTCAATTCATACTACCATACCAAACTAACATCCTCATGGCCATGAGAATTCTCCACCAGTCGATCTACAACGAGTACGCTTCAAATTGCGTCGAGTGAGTGGTCTTGATCACATGCTCATTCCATGAGGTATACTCCGGAAAACCCCTACCATCTATGATCACCCAGTAGGTACTTAGGATAAGTAAGATTACAACTTCCCTTATTCCCTCCAGATATAATCGCAAAAAGGATAATACAAACCAACTCTTAAACTCTTGGCCGCAAAACACAACATCCAGGAAAACCACACACCATCCAAGAAATAAAAACCTCTCACCCACAAACCCTGACCACACCCCTGAACACATCCTCGGCAGCTAACAGTTAGTGCCAGGTACCCCTCCCCGGACCCCAATCCTCTCTAAATATCCATGCAATGATTGGATATCAATGCATGGGGATTGTTTAGTGGAAGTGTCGATGTAACGGTATGGTGATACTTTGGTACTTGGTGTGCACATGTATTTTTTGGCGGTTATATGCAGGTCCGGATGGATAAATCGGGGGCATGCGGCGTATGCGAATGTAAATGTTTTGGTGTGGGATTGGAGGATTTGGAGGAGGAGGAGGATGTTGTGAGGTGTTGGAGGGGAAAGGGAGATGCGGCGAGGAACTGGGTGGGAATTATTAGAAGAAGAGCAGAGAAATTTAGATTGAAACTTTTTTGCATTATTATCTGAATCTACAGATTTTACCTACCTACCTAGGTAGCTAGGTGTTGAGAGACTTAATGTCTTCATCTCATCTCACATCTACCCTATAATACACCCAATACATATATGTTATATAACCATATAATGATATGTATATCTCATCCAAGCCAAACCAAACTCCGCATAATCCCCAGATCTCATAACCATCACGAGCTCTGAACATACAATTTTGGCATTGCCGTTCCTTTCCACGGATACGAAGCCAAATCCGGACATGAGATCTTGAGTTTAGATTGTGGGGGATTGAGAGTGTAAATCCCACGATCAGTTTTCGTGAAGGAGAACTTGTTTTTTCCGTTTGACACTTTGCAGGAGCTGAAGTAGGGGTAGGTAGACTCGAGTTGGTGGATTGTGGTTGGAGCCTCTGAGTCTATTTCGCTGTTAGTATATTTGTACCCGAGAAGATCTAGAAGAGCAAGGCCAGGGACGATACGTACCAAATCTAAATCCCAGCTCTGAATTCCCAACTACTTTTTCCGTGCGGAATAATTGGGTTCCATCTTTCTCACGTCCGACAAAATTAACCATGGTATGAGGAGTAGTTTCGCAAACAATGTTTGTGATTTTTTGCTCGGGGATTAATGTCCATGTGAAATGTCCTGTTTGGACAAACTCTCGGAGAGGAACGCCAGAACTTTGAATATCGCAGTGCGCGGATAAATCAAAGGTTGGGAATCCATAGTAGCTGTACCAATCCGATCTTGAAGAACTACGGATACTGATGTGGCTATATGTAATGTCTTGAGCTAGCTAAGGGGTTAGTTGACAGTATGGAAAAGAGTTTGATAGTAATGACAAACTTTGAACCGTGGTTTCTGGAGCTGTATAGTCTTATTAGAATTGAGTTTCTGAATGTGGAGAAGTAGTGAAACTAACAGCATTTTGATCCTCCAAAAGAAAAGAGGCCGATTTGGCGATCGAGAGCCGGCTGTCCATCGGCAGCTCTTCCTAGCCCTGATATTGTGACGTTTGTATCGCAAGCACCATAACTCAGACCGAGGTAGGTAGAGAACTCCAATAACTTGGGAATATGCATCTTGTATATCAAAGGCTCAAAGTTGGATGAAATTGCGTGAATGCCTTGAAAGAAAGGAGAGAAGTTGATGTTGATAGAAGACAATACTTTTCTGACCGAGCAGGAGAGGCGCAATAATGTAATAATTTGCGAGAACTACTCGTTTCATATTGAAATATTTCATCTCCATTGATTTGATCTCAATGACTGTACTAACATTTGGCAACAGTTGGAAGTAATAAGTACCCATGGCCAGAGCCAAACTGTCGGGTCAATACGTCCATATATGGAATGCTAGCGCGAACATCAGCCTTGTTATGTATGGTTTATTAGCCGCCAATGGTAGGATGAGATGTATCTTAGATTATCTGCATAGTAGTATTGTGATAGTGATGTATTATGGTCTCTTGCGTTCGGCAAAATGTTATGGGTCTTTATTGCCGATTCATTCTCCACTTTGTCTTGCGGCTATGAGCTTTGAACTCAGCGAGGCCTGGAAAAAACAGGATGCTGATCTCATAGATCAAAGGATCATAGGGCTTTGTTCGAATGTCTAACATGCTTTTTACAGGAGAATCTGTAAAAAAGTAATCATGATACAAAGCTTCTTTGATTCAGAAACTACGTCAGTAGCTTTGACGCGAGATAATTCTCAATTCTTCCGTTTAAGTTAAGCGTCCGATAATTCATCAACAAATAAGCGCCGACAGAATTCTCTTTGAGAAAAATAACCTTGAAGTCCAGACTGGCGTAAATTGGGTCTCGCTTGTAACGCCATGCGAAATCAATCATCCATTCAAAATAGACTTTCCTTTACCATCCGATACCACACAGACCCACCAAAATAATAAAGTGAAGCTAGTCTGGTAATGGTTAAATCAATCGCAGGATAGACACAACACATGATCTGAGAAGGGAGCCGAAGGGTCATACATAACTTCAGATGTGCAAATCCATCTCTATATCATTAGGTCTGAGACACTGGTTGTAAATTCGGGATCTGCGTGTATGTTGCCAGAGCTTTCATAATCTTTTTAAATAGACAACTTGTGAAGAGACATTTCAGTGCATGGCACTAACTAAAGATGGAACTCATCTGAAGTATTAGTAGGATTGATCTCTTCAATATCAGTATCTTAAATATTATTTGATGTGATCCCATTCAGAACCATATTTGCACCAGGAACGAATTAAGACCCCATTTCCAGATCAAATGTTGATTATGGGGCAGGCACACTCCGGGAGTCCGGTGTCGATGTCCGTTACAAATCATGAATGGGGCAAAGGTCACTTCTGATCGACTAGTTGCAGATTTGAAGAAGTATGGAAGTGGGAGACGATAGCTTGATATTAGTGATAAGTATTTCATGTTGAATACGATGCAAAGACCCGAACTAAAGGCTCCACTGCCAGTGATTTTGTGGTTATCGGAATCGAGATGATCAAAAAATGCCGAATCGGGGTTTTCCATAGATAGCTGAGCCGGAGATTCTTCCCTTCCATCGAGAGACAAGCATAACTGACAGCGAGGGAGGTTTTAATAAATACATACAACACATACAACTTTTGTGGCATAAATGTTCTGTCCGCTATAGAGAGGTAGGTTGAAATAACAATTGCTAAAAACCCGTAAATATATATGTATCGAACAAATGGAAATCATCAACAAGAAAAGAACATTCACTCCTTCACAAGGCTCGCAAGCGTTTATGTCAGCCTCCAAACAACAGCTACGTAAATAGCCCTGGGGGTAAATTTCGAATATTCCACGCACTCAAACTCTTGAGAGGTAATGTGCATTGGAATCGAGACGAGAGTAACTCTGATCATCTCTCCTATATAGAGGTACCAAGACGAGAGTAACTCTGATCATCTCTCCTACATAAAGTTACCAAGACGAAACTCAATACCAAAGCAAAGGACATGAGACGCAAGTAACCGTAGACCCGTTGAGTACTTTTGGAAGCTTCACCAAGCACTACTCGCACCGCAAAAGTCGTGATTGTTTTGGCATCCGAGTGGATGAAAATCCGGCAGAAATATCCATACAATAACAATCATCTACTCAATCAAGCAGCCGGCGAGAAGGCCACCGTCAACACTGAAGCTCATTTTGTAGATCGCCAGAATTTCTCGACGACGCTCCAATGCCATCTTAACTATACGACACCTTCCGTAGACATTTTAGGAGATCCGTACCGTGTGAAATACAATCAGTGTCTATATAGAGCAAAGCTATGTTGTGATAAACGCAAATTATAGAAGCCAGTTAAAAGAAATCATAAGTTGGTGTCCATGGGATTTATGTGAGCGGACAGACATAGATGTGCATTGGACAAATGACCTTGCTCCACGTTATCAAGATGGTGCTTAGTCACCAGAGAAATCGTTGGTGCACCAAAGCCTGAGAAACTTTGAAAATATCTTCTCTACTTTGATATTCTATCAAGATGAGATTTCACAGAAGAATATTGATATGTTGAGTGAGTTATCAAAATTTGGGAGAGGAGAGGCTATCGTTCATAGTGAGCCACCGTAGGTCATGTGATCAACGACAATGAAGTATTTCCTTCCCCTCGACTTTTATCACCTGACAATGAAAAGACATGGAATACCGTATAAACTCAACAAACTCGAAATCTACTTAACCGCATTGAGCCTAGCATATTGCCGATCTCCCTAGTCGGACTTCTTAAAATCTGACTTTTTCTTTACTTTTTTGTGTGTGAAAATATATGATTCATTATATCTTCATTCTAGAAAATTGGAATTGAAAAACTCTTTTAACTTAGATTTATTTTTATCATCGAGTTGTAATAATTGTCCTCATATAAAAGTCAAATATTGATTGTTGATATAATAATAATTTGTTGAAGTTTTGTAAAATCATTTCTTTTGTTCTAGCTTGTGGGATGAGGCTTAAATAATATGCTTATAATGCGGTTAAATAGATTCCGAGTTTTGTGAGTTTGTACTGTACGGTACTGTCTGTCCACAATGTTCCACGATCGAATTTCCTCGCGTGATGTTCCAAGCCTCTTCTTTCGAATTGGAGGAAGAACTCACAAGAAGCAAGACGTGCGAAGCCACACCGTTATCGGACTACAAGATACACTTGATTCCATGTGTCAACGGACAATATCAAAGGAAATCTTTTCCTAGGATATCGCCGCCATACGCGAAATATGCGTTTGGATTCTTCGAGGGTCTCTCAACGGCGATGAAGGATAGATACGAACGTTGATCTACAATCTTTGAGCTGCCGTTTTCGAACGTCTCCTACGGATCACATGAAGTTGCGAGATAAGGTACTGCGAGTCCGCGACATATATTTAGCTTTTGGCACTTGAATACAGTTCATCACGGGATACCATTGGCGCATATTGGCAAGGCGCCACCTTCACCTTCCTATGTAAGCAAAATCCTCCGCCAAATGTTCAAGCAATTACTTGGCACCTGGTCCCGGCATAAATACGATGCTTATCCAGCATTGTCACATTTAGCAAGACCCCTTAAGATATTGCCCTTCCTAATGTAGGTTAGCGAAGAAGCTCATCCGACATTGCACACCTCGGCAAATGTCTCGTCCAGCCACTCACAACGCTCGTTGCTTTTTTCTTCAAGAAAGGTTCTAGATATCTATAACAAATCAACAAGACACACTGGACAGTCCGTGTACCACTGATATCCTGATTAGATCGAGTTGCTATATATGGGAAGGATTTTTGTAGCCAAGAGATGATAATGCGTCTTTGTGCATTAAACCGTCTTGGCTTTGACCCTCTTCGTAGTTCATATCCATAGCATGAGGCTGGTCGACGTGGACACACGTAGAGGTATTGTCCATTGAAGGTCAGTTTGCATCGTGAGAAACCTGGTGATCAAGATATACACTTTTTGAAATGGGAGGGTTCTAAACTTACCTACCTCATCTGGCAAATTGTTATCATTTGACAATGAAGAGTAAATCATTATTTATAGTTCTGCATTTTCGCTCTCCAGTGAAAGAACATCCTTCCTCTCAAGTTTCAATTCAGATCAATACTCCAAAGATCTCAACATGATTTCCAAGATTCTCCCAGTCGCCGCTCTTGCTGGTGCAGCTATGGCTGCTACCAGCTGTCCTCTCTCAGTTGAGATTGCTGGCGCTGCTGGTCATGTTGCTCAAGTCGCGATCACCAACACTGGTGCCGAGACCCTCACTCTCTTCAAGGGTAACACCGTCTTGAGTGAACACGCTACTTTGGACGTCACAGCTGCTACAGGTATGTTCAGCTTCTTCATACGAATGGCTATAACTTTGGAATCGAAACTGACTGTCTACAGCTGATAAGGATCTTGAATTCAAGGGAGCTTTTGTCAACTACAAGCGTACCGGCCTTGCTGCTGATATGTTCCAAACTCTTCAACCTGGCGAGACTGTCACAACATCTCTCAATGTAGCCAAGACCTACAATCTTGAAGGCCTTGACACTGTTGATATTACCGCTATCCAAGGTTTCAGATATGTCATTGGAGAACGTGCTCCATCTGCGTTGAGCCAAACTACTCTTTGCGACGCTGTCATCTCCAACACCGTCACTATTACCCCTGATCAAAGCAAGGTTGCATCGTGAGTACCATCACTACTCGAAGCCAATACTGCTTGCTAACTTTTCCTCCAAGTGATCTTGTCAGCAGAGACGAGCCATTCCATTCACGTATCGCGAAGCGTGCCGTAACCTTCAGCGGTTGCAGCGCCGCTCGCACCAGCTCCCTCCAGACCACAGTTGCTGATGCCATCACATTGGCCACCAATGCTTACACTGCCGCTGGTACTGGTGCCGATTACTTCACCACCTGGTTCAAGTCTATCTCTGAGGAGAGTGCCGTTCGTGCCATCTACACTGATGTCAAGAACGTTCAAACCACATCCCCAACGATCTCTTGCACAGATACCAACGGAGGTTGCTCTGACGGAAGTGCCTTGCTCTACACAATTCCCAGCGCCAACGTCATCGTTCCTTGCCCAAACAATGGATACTGGGGCTTTCCCGAGTACTCACCTACTTGCTCTAACTTCGATTATGATCGTGCCGGAAGTCTCTTACATGAGATGACTCACTTGTACGGTACCCAGGATTACGCTTATGGACCAGCCGCTGCCAAGGCTTTGTCTGCTGCTCACGCTGCTAACAATGCTGACACCTACGAGATGTATGCTGGATCCGTTAGACTCGGTGGATGCACTGGTTAAATTCCTTAAATACTGAGTGGAATGTTGAATTTATTGAAGTGATGAAGTGATTAAAATGACGGGTTCGAGAAGAACCTTTTACGAATTGCAGAGAGGACGGCCTTCATGAATCCCCAGGCCTTTCTTTGATATTTGTTGTTGTAGTTAGTCGCAGCGAAATTAAAGATATTAGTACACATGTTCGCTTCATTGATTATCTTCTTCCATTCTTGGAAGTGAATAAGTTTGTCGTGCCATTCAAATCAGTTGCGATAGTATATGAGGAGTGAGCCATTATTGAATCGAACTATATGGACTTTCTCTAGTGCAGACTGCTTGGTCTTTGATATTCGGTCATCGCATACCCATTTATCACAAATCAAACCTTCATATCAAAACGTAAGTCTTGGATAATCTCAAATACAAGACTCAGAACATCTATGCTGGTACTACCACCTCCCATAAAACGCTGACTCCACAACAAAGTAGCATTTAACACGAACGTACACTAAACTCCCCATATAACCGCAGGCCTCTGGCGATACCATATGTGAGAGTCTCTAGGCTAACACCATCAACAGAAAATGCAGTTCGAATCTTCCCCAACCCGCAAATTTTTGCCCTTTATCATCCTCTTGACTGTCCTCGACACATTTCCACCTCTCGCCCTCGCTACAAATGATCCCCGCAAAGAAGAAACCTACAAATGGCCAGACATATCACAAGATCTACCCATCCAGCCCCAAACCTGTAATGCAACCCTAATGGCCCCCGGCCAATGTAATCTCACAAACCACATGGCAATTTCATATATACATTGGCAACAAACTTGACCACCAAAAACCCAGCCTAATTATCTACGACTCGAAGTGCACGGCGATGGACGCCAAGATGATGTTTTTCAACAAGATAGAGATATTGTGATACATTCAACTCTTCCGCAGATACTCACTATTGGAAAGTCGCAGATGGGAGCGGGAAAATTCGTTACGTTTAGATATGAGAAGCATACGGGTACTAAAGATGAATTTTTTGTTTGTTATAGTATGGGATGGGATGTTCTGCGACGTTTGATTGTATGGCTGCTGTGGATTCTGGTGTGGTGGTTAATGGTTTGAATTTAAATGCTCTCTTGGTAGGTGGATTAGAATTGGTTATAGCTGCCAAATGAGGTGATGGGTGATGGGTTGAAGAAAGAGTCTATAGGGGGGTGAATGTATATTACCCGTTGCTTTCCAACATTTTGTATCTGGGTTGATTTTGGACATCCATACTTACCTGTAAGCCTTATCTTTCTACCCAGGAAGTCAATGTGATTATGAATATGTATACCTGTCTATTTTGAAGATGGCTGGAAGTTGAGTACCTACTCAGTAGGAATCCTCGTCTCGTTGCGAGGTAACCTAGACTTGTTTAAAGTAGATTCCTCCTACATTAATCCCACACCATCTCATATCATCTCATCCCATCTCACCTCGTGGAAAAAGAACCGTGAGATACTTCAATTGAACCAGAATACAACCGACGAAAAGCCAACATTATACATACACACATAATACACACATTGTCCATTCCAACACAATACATTACTCAAAAGCTCTCAAACGTTTCCAAGCCTCCCATCCCAGTCACTTGACAACACGTGCCATCTCCAACCAAGTGGTTGCCTTGGTGTTCTTTCCCATTTTCGCAATTCCCAATTGCACGCATTTCACTAGCGCCATTTCACTTTCGCCTTTACTTCTCGTTCGACTTTTTCTTCTTCTACTTTCTCTTCTCAATTAATCTCATATTCTCATATTTGAGTGGGAGAGTATATCTTCATTTCATCGGTTTCATCAGTTATCTCGTGTGTTTCTATCTGGGTTTCGTGTATTTCACCATATCTCTCTTCCAAGAGACGAGATTTATCTTCACTTGATCTCTTTTCATTTACTCAGGACTCGATAATTGAACCTTATCATCACTCTATCTTCACCGATTGAATATTTGTCTTTGAGTTGATCAACTCGGATGCCATTCAATCCTCTCGGCTCATTTCACCAAATTCAAAACATCCTCTCTTTGATATCATCTGACTCTTTCGAATCTTTAGTAAGTAGTTTCTGATCTCCCACTTGTGCTGCGAGACCTGTTATTTTGGGACATCATAATTTACGAGAATACATGTTGCTTTTTCTTTGGCTTCACCTTCAAAGTTTGCCACTAAGCAAATGTCCTTCACAGATTCAGCAGCCGTGAAGTCTGGGGTGACTTCTGGAATCATGCAGGAAGCTATCGATAATATGCTTGATCTAAATCCTGTACATGTGCCCCGTGGATCCCGTACCATGATTGCGTCGTCTTCTTCAGTCACAGCCTCTGCTGCTACTCTTGGAGTTCAACGTAACGCCTCATCAAATATGTTCAACGACATTTTTGCAGTAACTCCTCGAAGAAATCGCCGGAGAGTCACTGCCACAGACCTCCAGTCTGCAGTAGACTCAGACGACTCAGAGGTCTATTCGGATTTGAGTGATGATTCAATTGCCACCTCGGCCATATCCAGCGAGAGGATTCAGGGTTGCAATTCTCCCTCCGTGAACATCGGTGGTTCAAGAGTCAATGCACCCGACTCCCGACAGAGACCTACAACTGAGCTGTACATTAAGTAAATACTCTCCACACATATGGTGATGGCTGCAAATGCTAATGAAGTGTGTGCAAATAGGATGGTGCTGGGTCCAAAAGTTAACATAGTTGTTGGACCTGAGAAGAAATCATTTGAGCTACCAAAAGATCTCCTCGCATACTATTCTCCGGTCTTCGATCGATCCTTCAATGGAAACTTCATAGAAGATCAGACGCAAACAATGGAATTGCCAGAAGATACTGTGGAAGATTTCGAAGTTTTGGTAGAGTACGTTTTCCACCACGGTGTTGGCGACAAACTCTCCATCTCGAAGCATGGGCAACATGCCGCTGAACATTGCATTTCCTTTTTAAAGTACGCGGATAAGTACGACCTTGGAGATGTAAGCACTTTGGTATACGGCGCTCTTCGACCGGCCTTGATAGACGGTGGTGCATCAGCTTTCAATTCTAGCTTTATAGAAGTTGTTTTCTCACTCACAGAAGATGGCAATTGCTTACGAGAACTGATGGCCGACGCCGCATTGTCATTTCAGGGGGAGACTTTGGGAAATTATCGAAAAAGTGTCAAGATCAATTTCGAAAAGCAGGAGGCTGAAGTGGAGGGCTTCACATCGGCTCTGTATCGCCAACTCAAACAATCTGGCGTTTCCTGTCGGTATAACGCTCCTTTTTATCCGAAAATATACAGAGATTTCAATAAAATTTGATGAGAGCAAGATATGAAGAGCAGCACTAATGTTAAGACATGGCCTTTTTGCTTCTGGGTTGACGGGAGTCGGTAAAAGAATTTCATCTGCTTCATTCCTCATTTTACCTTGCTTAAAGAGGGTAATTACCATGAGCTGAGTGCTGCAAGAGACAGAGAACTTGAAGGAATCGCGTATTGTCAATGCTTTCGAAGTCGAGAAATATTTATTTGATGGTCTTGTGTAGAGCACCCTTAGCTACATTACTACATTTGCTCAATAAACAGCTTCACCAAACACATTATAGATCTCCCCTACTGCTTGAGAAATTTGTGAAACAAGAAGTACAGTCAGTGTCTAATGCACAGTAGTATCAGGCTGACAGATCTCTCATTCTAAACGATTTCAAAAACCTAATTGAAACCGCATTCACACCACTTGGACATGTTGATCGGAAACCACCAAATGACACGCCTGTCCGCACTCAGATATCCATCTCCTTTCGCAACTCCAACCAATGAAGTGTACCTTTATCCTTTCCCACCACTCTCTCCGCTGTAACCCATTTCTCCCCCCACATTTTCTCTCTTTCTGTCTACCCCATTCCATGTTTTTGGCCCCTCCTCCTCCCCCTCCCACTTTTCATCTCTACATCACTTTTCCCGTACATCGTAATTTACAACTTCATGTTTCATAACCCATAACCACAGTAATGAATGGTAATGGTAATGATAATGATGATGTATCAAACCCGCACAGCAAGAAGTAGCATACCAGCTTTGAGGCTCGGAAGATAATGTACGAGGTGAGCTACCGAAGGATTGTGAAAGAGGGTAGCGGGATTATTGCGATTGTCAAGGTTGGGAATGCAAAAGGAGAAAGGAGAAGAGAAATATGAAGGTTGTTCTTTCTCTCCATGTTGGAGATGATGGAGAGAGACAGAGGGCGAAACGAAAATTGATGGGTTAGTATGCAAGCACTGCGCTTGCTTGCGAGATGTTGTGTTAGGTTAGTGAAGGGGAGTTTGGAATTAGGGGGGGGGGGGTACCTAGTACTCTAGTGTGGGTAGTTATCCACCCACCTAGAATTCTCTAGAGAAAGACATGGGCGCTACTTGAGCATCGATAGGTTCATCACTCGTAAGAAAATAGAATATTCATGAGTCTGCAAGATCAAAATTTATATGAGCCTAATTACTCGCTCGCCATTGTAACCTTATTTATGTGAGTATATATGCACAATATCATGTACAGACATCAAGTACCCTCAAACTCAAACAAGCGCTCTCCCCTTCCTATGGCAATCTCTCTTCCACTCTTCCATCCACTTCTTCACAAACGTAATCTCCTGCCTCTGTACTTTCTTAATCGTCTTCGGAGGAAGGCTCTTAGAAGTCTCATTTGCAAAAAGTCCATTCTCATCCCAATGATGTACTGCTCCTTCAATCAAAATAAAGGGTTGGTCGATCGTAGAGGTTCGATTGTGTGCCGTAGTATTGAAAGGTGAAGCGTGAGGAGTAGCCGGACGCCACACATCTTGTTCGCCATCTATATATGCTAATCTTGGGTAAGTGAGATTGAAGCCACCGTATTTGTTTATATTTTCGACAGCCGGAGGAGTGGTGATATTGAAGGACTCGGCACAGATAATCGAGAGATAGGGAAGATCAATTGTTCGGGAGAGGAGAGGTAGTTGATTTGCGGGAACAGAAGCACCGTTTTGCAGGTATCCCCATTCGGTACAGTATTGGTAGGGCCAGAGACGCCAGTCCTGGGACGCATCATCTTGCGCGTAGTAAGTAGAGTTGTGGGTCGAGTAGCAAGAATCTTGGTTGGGAGAACAATCACCGAAATTGGTGGAAGTGTAATCTGGGAGTTTATTAGTGTTTGCAGGTGTTACGAGGAAAAGTTGGGAGTGGAAGTTCTTACCAGTTAACCAACCAATCCAATTCAAGTATGGAATTGTCAAGCTGTTGAGTTGAGAACCATAACCACCCTTTGTGAGCAACTTCTGAACTTCCGTTGTAGAGCTATTCAAACTTGGCCAAAGAAGTTTTTTACTAGTAACATTGCCACAATAGTAATCAAAATATGGTGTTCCTTCAACTTCTGGATCCCAGTTTTTGCTTTGCCATTCCCACATTCCGTACATGACTACCGACATGAAATCATTGGAATAGGTAACATTTGGAAGTCCCCAGACGGATTTAAGCTCTTGGACTAGAGCCGTGTTGTTTTCTTGTCCAATGACAATGTTATCCATAGAGTTGGTGATGAGTTGGGTATTCTTGACACATTTTTGATCTGCATAGACGCGGATGGGCTCAAAGTAATCCCAGTAATCGTGGATAGCTTCAACGACACCACTGGAAGAGATTGTTCCTAACCACATGTTAGTCACATTATCCTTTATATATGAAACTTGGAGGAAGAATGAAAAGAACTCACCCCAGAAAGTATCAGGATATAACTTTCTCAAGAAAGCATTGAAGGCACCAGCATAAGAACCTCCATACCCAATGTAAGCCACATTTGGGGCGGTCAAGTTGTGATCTTCCAATCCGGGAAAGACAATATTTCTGGCAAAATAAACCTCATCCATCAATGCTTGTTCGGTAGTCAAGAATCTTAAATTCTCCGTTGAGAAATCCGGGGTTGGGATACTTTGACCATAATAACGATGTTCAAGCACGACACCAATACCATGGGTCGCAACAGCCAATTGATGCAATATACCTTTCTGCAAGAATGGCAATCGACCTGTAGCATCTGTCTCTCCTGATTGGAGAACAATCACTGGACCGCCAGGCTTATAATGGGTGGCGTCGAACCAATAGCGAAGTGGGAAGGTTCCGTTGCTGTGAGGTTCGTAGCGCGATTCATTGTGAAAATAATCAATTGGGACGGTGAGATTGTAGGTTGGGTAGAGTAGAGAGTGATGAACGTCGGCGCGCTTGGCCAGTGCTAGTTCTCGACGGGAAATAGTGGTTCTCTAGTTGTGGATATTAGTTTGGAATTATGTGAATGTGAGGGACTAGCTATGGCTTGTGGAATGGAGGAATGGGGAGAGAGTAGAAAGGGAAACTTACGCTTAGTTTCCGATCAACACCATTTGGATATAATTGATGTGAGAATACACATTGAAAGAAGGCCAAAATCACACAAACTGTATAGAATGTGGAAACCATGGTTGTAGATTATTTGGTATTGTCTTTGGTAGATTTTGGATCCTCGAGGGTTTATTTATCTAGAGCCTCAATAGGATCCCAAGTTTCCTATTACGGTGAAAACACCTTGATGGGGTTTGCTGTACATGATGTTAGTATCACCCGTAGAGTTGGATTGAGATCGCCGCTTCTTTGCAATTTTGGTGACTGCCGTATTCCAAGTATCCATATCATACTTTGCGACTACCACCGTGGCAGTGAAGGGGAGGCACTGGAACTGAATTGAAAGTGGCGGGGTAATTTATGAACACCTGGGCAGCGACAAAGAGACAGTGAGTGGCTGAGGTTAAAAAACATAAAAGAAAGTAAATACATACTCTTCCAACTCAAGTCAGTTACTTTCAATCGATTTCAAGTGAGTCCCTCTCTCAAAATCCGTCTACTTCCAACATTCTCACCAATGGCGACATCATCTCTCTTTATACATGTCCCAGCTACATCAGCTACATGCAAATGGCTAAGATGTTCACACATACGTTCCAGATCAAGAAGGTGTCCACGGTCGTATCACACTGGCGTGCAGATTATGTCAAGCAGAGACTGTGGGATGAGTGATGATTGGATGGACATCACACATTGCCATCTCGGAAGCCATTCTCAAAGAAGAAGGTCCCAAAGTCACCGCCAATATCATGGTTCCTGTGCTTGTGGCTCGTGGCTCGTGTACTTACGATGTAGATGCAGTGCAGGTGGGTGTGCATTGAATGTGTACAGACAGATGAGACAGAGTATAAAATCAAATCAGTGACGGGAAAGTGGTCAATGGCTGGATGGGTGGGTGGATGGATAAATCAGAGGTTGGGATATGCTCTTGAGCTCCACTTTGATGGACGGGAGTGGTGATGATTGGTGAGAATGTCCTGCGTCTATCGCTTGGCCAACTCTTGTTTCTTCTCTTGAAATCTTTTGATCCTTCATATAACAGCAACATCAATGGATTCGGAAACTTCTTATGAGCATTGATTCAATGTTCGTTCATGGATCTCATCATACTCCTGGGTAATTATTCTCACCTCAAACCATCTCACCACATACTCTAGCTGTCTAGATCATTGTTTCACTCACACATACCAGTATTGAAAATCCCGTTTGAGACTCTGGTTTGGGGAGTCTTAACGGTTTGCTAAATATACGTGTCTGTCGGTTTTTTTGTCTTTCCATGCATCTTGCTTTCAATCCCCGAGTAGCTTATCAGATTCATGGAACCTGATTGGAATGTCATAGTAATCGGGTCTGGATTCGAATTGGCAATCTGAATCTCAGAGCTCTGCGGTATCGCCCAATACTATCGTCACTTTCTTGGATTTTTCTAGCTACTCAAATTGTTTGTCCTGGCGGGCAGTGCAAAGTCGGCGCACAAGAATTTGTCTATCATGGTTTCTTATCTTCACGTGCGTCAGCATCCTCCCTGTCAGCCCCCTTATTGAGTTTTTCGTGTTCTGTCATTTCATTCGAGAGCTCAACTCGGCACATAAGAGATTCTAGGAGACATTGTCCCTGATATTACGCTATCAGGTTGACATCCCATGCGATCTCTATGTCGTCTTATCCCATGAGCCCAAAACAATTACGTAATTACAGCGTGCGACGATTATCAGGTCAGCTAAGTTGAAATGCGTCTACTCAATGTCCACACGCGTCAATTGAAAGACTTCATTGCCACCAAAATCCCCAGATATGCGATTTTGTCTCATACTTGGGGTGGAGACGAGGTACTTTTCCAAGATCTCACCAATTTTGAACACAAAAAGAAGAATGGTTATGCGAAGATCGAAGGTTGCTGCCGACAGGCCAT